GCGGCAGACACCACGGACGGCCCGGGGCCGCGCCGGGGGGGGGGGGGGGGGCGCTAGAGCCGCCCTCCCTTCCCTTCCACATTGCTGAGCTGGTGGCGGGGGGGGTGGCCAGGCCCCGGCAGGAAAATATGATTAGGGAGGGGTCTCCCTGCTCACTGGTCAGGAAGAGAGCCAGCCAGGATTTACATAGCATTTAGGTAGACAGCAGGGAGCATATATCACCCTGTCAGCAAAACAAAAGGATCTCTCATTAATTCAATCTCTTCTTAAACAACTTGTTCCAAAGAAGGAATGGAGAGACATTACCAACTACCTGTTGATTCACTCCAAAGAGCCCTAAGCAGCACAGTTCTGTCTGCATTTGTCCTGTCTGCCACATCATGGACCATAGCCAGCATGTGTTATGCTAGCTAATGTTGAGAGATTTCTCTGTAAGGCAAAGGGGAGTGGGGAATCCCTGCTTAGCGGGGAGAGCTGGGGGGGACCAGGGGAAAGCCAGGCAGATGCCTGCAGTCTCTGCTGAGCTCCAGCCAGAGAGCAGAGGGGAGGGGCCAGCTCTGCTGTGGAGCAGAAAGCCACGCCCAGTCAGACAACATGCCAGGATGCTGTGGGAATTTGGTTTAACTTAAACCAGGAAGGGGTCTGGGACAGACACTGCATAAACTGGTCTGAGCTAAATCAGTTAAGTTTGATACTATATTCAACCAGGTTTATCTCAAACCAGTTTCAGCCATTTTCAAATTGGTTTATGTGCACTGAACATCTGTTCTGTTACAGGTTTAAACCAGTTTCTGATCACTTAAACTGGTTTATGTATAATGTCTGTCCCTAGTCTTAAATATTAATGCTTTAGTGTATTTCTGGTTTATTCTGTGTTTTCTTAAGCAGCCAATAAAAATTGGCTTATGCAGTTCCTATGCTGAGAAATTTAAATTGTTGGAAACTTGTTTCTCAACATTATCACATTTCCTCTGGTTTTAACTTTGCCTGGGACATACTGTGATATCCACCAAATACAGCTGGGGATTTGGGGCTGGCAATAGTGATAAGTTAGACATAATACAGAAAAGTTTTTTGTTACTTCTGCCTCTTATAAATGGCCCATGCAATCCAGCTGCAGCTCAGTGAGGAAGGGGCACTGCTGCTGCTACTTGTTTCCGGGGAATGCCTTTGCATACACGCTGTAGTACGCAGCAAATTGCCCTGGGTGGGGTAGGGGAGGCTAGGACCAGCACCTGGGCTGGCTCCAGCAGCCTCACCTGGGGACCTGGGGGCCTTTAGGGGCTGCAGCAACAGCAATCTGGGCACACGGAGTATTGCTGGCAGCCAGAGCATGGGTCTGGCCAACCAGGCTCCAGTTTCGGGTGGGGCACACTGCAGCCACATGCGCTGCCCTGCTTTTTTTTGTCACGTTTTTTTTAGATACCAGGATTTCCCAGAATCTGATTTTGGCAGCATGGCAAACCTTTTCATGTGCAGTGCCTCAAAAGCCTTAATTCAAAAGCCTTTGAGGCTCTGCAAAGCACATGTTCCCACTTCTATTTACATGGCCATGGTAACTTTCCCCATAGGCATTAGTCTTTCTCTGCTCTTGTTTAATGTTGAAAGTGCACCTTGAAATGCTGCTGCTTAACTCTTTCTTCCTCCCTACTGTTGCTTGGCCAGTAAGGCCCAGAAGAGACGGTTCCACACAGAGCCTTTCTCTTGTTGGTTTTCATTTACAAGCCTATGCAGTTTGGATAAATGTTTTCTCATTTGGTTTTAAAGCAATGCCTTTGAAGCACTCAGGAGTCCCTTAGAGGGCAAACCATTGTGGCAGCCTCTCTGTTAGCTTTGTGTCCCTTAACAAGGCAGCTTCAGCCAGTTGATTAATGAGCCCAGCTCCCAGGGCTCCTTGCAGATCTCCTTCAAGTGTTGTTTTCTGAACTATTTTGTTTTCCCTCTGCTCTGCTCCTCAAGGTTATGAAGCTGAGGAAGTTGGCTCAGCAGGTAGCTAACTGCCGGCAGTGTCTGGAGCGCTCAACAGTCCTCATAAATCAAGCAGAACATATTCTGAAAGAGAACGACCACGCACGATTCTTGCAGACCGCCAAAAATGTGGCCGAAAGGTGGGCTCACCTGAGATTATTAGCTTGTCTGTGCTGAGCAGGAGTTTAATCCACGCAGGAAATTGGTGCAAATAATGTTTTGAGCTTCAGTAGTAGTAAGTAATTGTCTTAGCAGTACAGAACTGTTATCCCTTGGAATCTCATTTATCCATGGAGATTTCTCCATCAACCCTGGCTGTTTTCTAAGTATCTAATGCAGATTTATATGCTTGCTGAGCACTGCCACCAAAGAGATGATACTCACTGCTTCCTCGCTCTTCAGGAATATGTGGTGGGGAGGCAATGTCCAGTTTTATTAATTTTAATTCTTGATTTATAGGCTACTTTTCCTAAGTATCAAGTGCCTTAAAACAGAACTGCCTGCATTGTGACATAATACGGTCAGCAAATAATACCAGAGAAAAAGAGCCTGAAAAATGCCTGTGAGAAACAGTTGTAGAGTTGGAAACAACCTGAATAATGAATTGTTCCAGATAATCAATAAATGAACTAAAGCTGCCTCTACTTTGGGATTCATTTGTTAAATAATTAAAGTTTCAGCCTCTGCCCTGTTCTTGTCCCAGGGTGTGGTGTGAGAGCCACCCCCCTAGCTAAAAGATTGAGGGTCAAACTGGGGACCTTTGGAGCTAAGAGAATAAGCTACTATAGTTCAAGCAAAATTGTCAGAGTTCTGTAGGGTATGTGCCAATGAATCACAGCAGGAGCTATTGCAGAGAGAGCAACATGTAACACAGTCAAGACCTGTTGAGAGTTGGCCTACACGAAACAGTGCTTAAATAGCAACATCCCATCCTCTCTTTTTGCTGTCCCCAGCAGAGCTGCAACAATGGGACATATTAACAAAACTGTTCTAATGTAAATAAAGCTTATGAGAATCAACTATATGGATCTCATATGGTCTAGACCAGGGGTTCCCAAAGTTTTTATGCTGCAAACCACGGCCCGGCAAACCGTGACCCAGCAGTTGCAGCTGACCACGGCCAGAAATTCTAGCCAGCAGGTAAGAATACCCCCATGCCCTGGGTGGGGGGTGAGAGGGGCAGGGAGGGGGCAAACACTGCACTGCTGCAGGCCCTGCAGAAGGAGCCACGGCCTCTCTGCCTGGCTCTGGGGAGTCACGGTTTGCCTGTCTGCAGCCACTTCCGGTCCAGCCAGCCCGCTGCAGCCCAGCAACAGGCTGCAGCCCAGGGATTGAGAACCCATGGTCTAGACTGTCACCCAAACTGAGGCTGCAGTAGTAGAATGGGCAGCAAGTTGTTCAGCAGCTAAATATTAGGTGTGAAGAGAAGCATGTGTCATTCCTTGGAAGAAAAGACAATGCTGTGGCATGTATAGCTGTGATTATTCAAGGATTACTTCACTAGCAAACACATAAACAAAACCACTGATCCCTTCCCCAGGGAGTTGCTGCTCTGATTCTCCAGTGAAATCAAATTTAGATATTAGGGCCTGTTTTTCCTCATGGTGGGCTACAATGCTGCAAGATTTTGTACCTTTTTAATCAACAAAGTAACTTGCCTGGGAGTTCCAAACACCCCTAATGTATATTGATGCTCTCTGTTTTTCAGGGTCGCCATGGCAACTGCATCCTCTCAAGTTCTGATACCAGATATCAATTTTAATGATGCCTTTGAAAACTTTGCTTTAGATTTTTCTAGAGAAAAGAAACTGTTAGAAGGTCTGGATTATCTAACAGGTGCGTGTACCAATCCTGCATCCCTAACCTGCTCTCTAACCTTTCTTGAAGCCTTAATTCCATAAGCATCTGTAAGGAGGTGGGAAGTATTTTAATATAATCACTTTGTAAATTAACCTTGTCTTTTCAACTGCTTCTTGCTTTTGCAACTGAACTACTCAGATGGTCCATGACTGTGGAAACACCTAGTTGTCACTCTTTGAGCCTTTGTTCAAATGGTGTTTTTAGGGCAGCTGCTTGGGAGCATAATCTGTGGGAAGTCTCTATACCTCATTGTAAACCTTGTCATTTCCTGCCTTGATTGCAGCAATTTCTCCCCTTCCACCTCTCTGAACCTCTCCTTGACCCACATCACTCCCTTCCTGTCAGCTGCTAAGGCTACCTTCCATCTGACCATGGGATAACCCTCTTTTATACCCTCCCCTTGCTCCCCCTTCTCCATCCTGTTAGGATGTCTCATTTCATGGATCTTTACCACTGCCCCTTCTACTTACCTGCATTTGTTTTTCATTGTGCTGGCTGTTTTCTTGCAGTACCCTCCTCCCTTCTCCTCTGTTCTGTGAATGGCCCTTACTTTTCCTACCACGCCTTCCTGTGTGGCTGCAACATTTTCCTTGAAAAATCCAAGACCTTCAGATCCCTCAGAGGCTCTGACCTCACTTCATAAAGTAGTATGGCTTAGCACCTGGGCTAGCCTAATGTAGCAAAACCCTATCCTCATTACAGTGGCCTCACTGTTTCGGTGCTTGCTTATGTATCTGACAGTACATCTCACAGTTCTTTATGCTGCCCTGTAGGCCTGTGTGAATAGGGAAGTATTTGATTAGGGTTCGGATACAGCCAATTCGGATGCCAGCGATTTGATTCGGAGCTCTGAATCGGTTTCCTGCTTCGATTCAGCCGAATCGGCTCTGAAGCTCTCGGAGCTGATTCGGAGATTTGGCCATAGGGTATAATGGGGAATCAATTAAATATCTATAACTTTCTTGTTTTTTGTCTGATTCAGGTGAAACTTGCAGGGATGGTAGCTTCTACTGGGAGCATGAAGCCTGACAAGTTTCAAGGAGATAGGTGCAGGGGTTTGGGGGAAACTGCACCCCAAATTCTTGAAAGCAAATCTCATGTCACGTGTATGTGTTAAGCTACAGCGGGGTCAAAACTGCAGGGATGCTAGCCCCTGGTGAGACCACAAATCCTGCTGAGTTTCAAGGAGATAGGTGCAGAGGTTTGGGGGGAACTGCACGTCAATCTGTGGACAAGCAAAACTCATGACATGGGTGACACCGTGTGTGTTAAGGTGCAGCAGGGTGAAAACTGCAGGCCTACTAGCCCCTGCTGAGGCCACAAAGCCTGCCAGCTGTCAAGGAGATAGGAGCAGGGGATTTGGGTTCTGGGGCCCTGCACCCCTAGCTGCTGACAGGCAAAACTCATGACATGGGTGCTTATGCAACTGTGTCTGTCTTGGGGCAGTTGATTGTCTGTACTGATTATGTCCTCTTCTTAGTCTAGTTTTGTAGGTGTTAATCCTTGCTCATTAACTCATTATCTAGTAGCTACTAGCTAGCTACTGTGTATTGAGCTGGTCCCTCAGTGAATCATGATTGATCGGTAACACAGTAGCTTAGCAACCAGGCCTGCAGTAGTTTCCCCAAGACAGACACAGTTGCACAAGCACCCATGTCACGAGTTTTGCCTGTCAGCAGCTAGAGGTGCAGGGCCCCAGAACCCCTTGCACTGATCTCCTCGACAGCTGGCAGGCTTTGTGGCCTTAGCAGGGGCTAGCAGGCCTGCAGCTTTCACCCTGCTGTGCATCACCCGTGTCATGAGTTTTGCTTGTCCGCAGATTGACATGCAGTTTCCCCCAAAAACCTGCACCTATCTCCTTGAAATTTGGCAGGATTTGTGGCCTCACCAGGGGCTAGCATCTCTGCAGTTTTGAACCCGCTGTAGCTTAACACATACACGTGACATGAATTTTCCTTTCAAGAATTTGGGGTGCAGTTTCCCCCAAGACTCTGCTCCTATCTCCTTGAAACTTGGCAGGCTTTGTGGCCTCAGCAGGGGCTACCACCTCTGCAAGTTTCATCTGAATCAGCCAAAAGGTAGCAAAGTTATAGATATTCCATTCGTTCCCCATTATACCCTATGGCTGAATCTCCAAATCTTTTCTGAATCAATTCAGAAAGCCTAAAGCTTCCCTCGATTCAATCTGGATTCTTAGATTTGGCCTCCAAATCATCCGAATCATCTCCAAATCCCAATCATGGTCTGAAGCTTTGCACAGCCCTACTGCCATGCTATAGGATTTCTTTTCCCTGGCAGTCTTGTTAATTGCAGGAAAACTTGTCTGTTCTTTGTGGGAAACTGTGGGAAAGTAGTAGAAAACTATCGACGCTTCAGTGATTTAGTTTAAATCTTCACTACAAAATGATTAGATGCCAACCTGAGTTAAAGAAGAGGGCAGTTTCTAACCCACCCCCTGCACAAGTCAACTATCTTGGATTTAACAAACCTTCATACCTGGGTCATAGTATCTTCTCCATGGGTGGATGGATTGAAAACCTGGTAAAAGCCCAGGTTAACACTACAATGAAGATATTCCCTATGCCACCTCTTGCCATAATGCCCACAATAAATCAACCAGTATGCTTTTATGCACCTGAAGAAGCAATATTGGCCCATTAAAAATAATGTTTAAGGTATCATATGTTTTCGTGCTTCCCTTTTCAGTAGCCTTCATGTATGTCTTATAGTCCTAAATTATAACCACCAATGGGCAGGGTCCCTGTCTATGTTTTTGTTTGGACAACATCTCCCACGCTGATCCAAATTGGAGCCCTCAGGTAATACCGTAATAATAACAGCTATGCTATAAATATCATATCATAGAAATGTAAGACTGAAAGGAACCTCAAGGATTCATCTAGTTACCTTGAGGAGGGGATCAAACTTGTAACCTTGGTGTTATTAGCACTGTGCTCTATCCAATTGTGCTGTAAATAAATACAGGTGACTACTGATGTGCCTCACCTTTCTTTGATAGTGGTGGTGTACTACTTTAAAGAACAAACAGCTCATGCAACTGTATTTGTAGTAGAAGTATTAATAGCTGCTGTTATTCAATTGAAGTATGTTCCTTTACAAAGGTGCATACTGTAACAGCAGCTGGGGAGATAAAGTTGCTTGCGGAAGCCCCAGAGAACATTAAAAACCTTGAATCCATAAATCAAATTCCCAATTTCCAAGCAGCTAATAGGCTAAATGCAAAATGGGGAAATGTCATCAGAATCCAGAATGTTTACCAAGCAAAGGTTGTTAAAAAATCGATGCTAGCCAGGGAGATGGTTTGTAATCAGCTTCCTAACCTGATTCAGCCTTCCAATGTCTGAGCAGTTGCCAGTACAGTATTTAGAATGGATTCCCTTGTTATGTCACTGCTAGGTACTGCCGTAGCCTTCCCAACCATCCATTCCTCTGCATGGCTGAGCCACAATTGTTGTCAAGTAGAAACTCTCTGCAATGTGTACAGTGAGAAATCTCCTTTTTTTTCTGTGCAATGCCTGTGCAATGCCCCATAGTGATTATCTCCATAGACTGTCACAATAATAGAATAGAAAAGCCATGGTAAGATATATTATAATTAACAATCTCTCCATACTGTTCTCTGTCACTTATGCAGCACCCAACCCACCATCAGTTCGAGAGGAGCTTTGCACTGCCTCCCACGACACTATTACTGTCCACTGGATCTCAGAAGATGAGTTCAGTGTCAGCTCCTATGAGCTCCAGTACACCATCTACACTGGCCAGGCCAACTTCATAAGTAAGTAGCAGTGTGTTTGCAATGAATGAGGTTTTGTATTGAAGAATTGAAGAGGGATGTAAACCAGCTTGACAATAAAGATGTTATCAGCCAAAGTCAGCAGAAGGGTTCAAAGTTTGTCCCTAAGGGTATGGTAAGATTGCTGCACAATGGAGTGTGTGACATCTTTAATCTAGTTAGTACAGGTAACAAAAGCAACGAAGACACAGTGGCTATCTTCTTTGTGGGCTTCACGAGCCTGCCAGGGACTCTGGGTATGAACAGATATTGCAAAAGTACACTGAAGTATACGCTGAAATGTTTTTCCTGCTGTGCTTACCCCTGCCAGTTATATTAAATATACTAATACTGCAATCATACTTTCAATTGTAGTTTAGATGTACCTTTCATTATAGCAGCATCACAGTCTGTATCAGCTTGAGAGAGCTTTTGGGGGTTGTTTAACCTTGAAAGTTAGATCCAATTTAAAAACAAATGTGTACAAAACTCAAGCTTAGTACAAATGCTAGCTATGTTTTTTTAATTCCAATCAGAACCTTGTTGGGTCATGATTACCACCTTTCCTTAGAGCATTTGCAACCTTAATGTTGCCACAAAAGCCTGCTACTAGAGAGCTAACAAGAGAAACTGGTCAATCAATTGTCATTCTCCAAGCTCAGCAAAATTGCAAAAGTAAACAATCAGCATTAACAAGGCAAAAGTAAATGAGGTCTGACTAATGATTTATATTCAAACTATGGAAGGTAGTATTAATAATACAGATGAACACGTTTACCTTTGGCTAATAGGAAGTTTAACTTCACGGTGTCTCCTTAGATGTTCTTTGCATCCACTTTGTGAATGAGTTTTATAGTGATACTCGTCTCCAATTTGTTTCAGGGTGTGGGGAAGACAACCCTTTACACATTCATCCCTCAAGTTGCTGCCTCTGGGCCACAACTCTTTGGTTGAGAAGGGTTGGATGTAGGCTCCAGGCAGACACAAGAGTCTTCCCTGCTCCCTTCAGACTGCACATCATGCCCCTTCCCCTGCACACCATTTCCTGTCATACTGGGAAATAAACTTGGGGACTGAACTGGGGTCCCTCAGAGCCCTGTGCTGGAGTCCCTATACCACAGACAACCTTACTGATTGATTCTGATACTATTTAGCACTCAAACAGGGCTCTCTATGAAGCACTAGGCATTCATCAGCACATCACTGTACATGCCCCTGTGACAGTGCCCCATTTCTTACTGGGCGAAGTAGGCACTAAGGTTGCCCCAGGCTGGGCAGGAAATCAGTGGAGGAGCTGGAACTAGAATGTGAGTTGCTGTCTTAGTCAGTGGGGCTCTAACACCCTCAGACAATCTGTAACACAAAGAGCTTGCCTTGTGTTAGCTACTGATTTAATCAAAACACATCAAAAGAACAGAAGGACCTTTCTCCCTTATTACTTTTTCAAAGCCTTAGGAGACTTGCATCATGTTGCACAGGATTTTGGTCTCTCCTCCTTTTTTACTTGGGTAGTAAAAACAAAACTTTTTAGTTTAGGGGGCAGGCAGTTAGTAGGCTAGATTGCCTATGAGAAGCAGGAATTGGGAGGAAACCATGGGAAAAGGTTTGGTCAGGACATTGAACATTTCAGGGAAGCAATCTAAATGGTTAAGAAGGGGAGAGGAGCTTTGAAGTGCAGTTTGTCAGTGCTGGGATTTGAGATCCATTATTGAATTGTTTTGTGTTGCACTGAGTATCCAGGATTCTTCAGGTCAGTGTATCATCCACAGCATTAAAGGATCTAATCCCTGTCTCATGGTTGGTCATTCTGGGAACAGCCAAGGCATATATGTGTCTGGCAGCCCATTCACAGAACTCTCTGGGTGTAAAACAAATAGCCCTAACCTGGTTTCTCTTCAAGCTTCAGGCTAGTAGTGAAATTTTATTTATTTATCTCCCCTCAATACAGTACAGGCAGTCCTCGACTTATGACTTTTCAAGTTACAACGAACGTCACTTACGATGTTTATAAATTGACACCCTGTTTTGATATTCGGAAGTTCCAACATGGGTTTCAACGTTACAACAGTCAATAAAGCTGCGTCCAGCTGGTAAGTCTGTTGTGGTGCAAGGTGCAGGGAAAGGGAAGGGGTGGGGTGGGGCGGGGAGCAAATCAAGGCCCCTGTGGTGAGGGAGGGACTGGGCCTGGGGCTGCCCAGCCAGGGCCATACAGGCATAGGACTGAGCCGCGGCTCGTCAGGGGGTGCAGGGAGGGAGTGGGCGGTGGCTACCACCGCTGCACGCTGCTCATCTGGCAACTCATCCAGCTGTTCCCACCATTGCTCCCACCGCTTGTCCAGGAGGACATGAAAGGGGTGTGTGCCCTGGATCTGCACGGGGTAGGGTGGGCAGGGCTGGGGCTGCGCTTTCAGTGGGCACAAAGGGCTACAGTGAATTGTCAGGTGGCTGCAGCCCCCCTATGGCTCCTTGTCTGCCACCTGCCCTGCCTCAGTCTGGGGGTACATGCCCCTCCCACCGCTCGCCCAGCTGGGGCAGGGAGGGTGCAGGACAAAGCCTCAGCTCATCTGGGGGACACAGGGAGGGCAGGGCAGCTCCTGCCCCTCTGCACCGCTTGTCCAGAGGCAGCGCAGCGACTGTGCCCTGTGCCTGCCCTGCCCCAGCTTGGTGAGCAGCAGGAGGGCATAGCCGCAGCTGCCAGTGCCACTGCTGCCCTCCCAGACTGTAGCCCAGTGCAGCCTCAGCCCCAACCCCCCCACCCCACACAGATCCAGGGGTACACGCCTCCCCATGCCTTCCCAGACAAGCAGTGGGAGCAGCAGTGAGAACCGCCGGACGATCTGCCAGATGAGCAGCATGCGCCCTAGCTGGGCAGCACTTGCCCCAGCCCTGGTCCCAGCCCCAGCCCCACCCCCAGTCGTTCCCTCACCGCGGAGAGCATTGGTCTGCCCCCTCCCATACCCCTTCCCTTCCCCCTCCCCTTTCCCCACAGTGGATTTACCAGCTGGAGGTAGCTGTATCAACCATTGTAAAGGAACCAATCCCCCCATTTATAACACTGTTCCTATGGGAAAATTGGTTCTGACTTACAATGTTTCAGCTGCACCCATCGGGAGGCTAACGTGTCTTTATACAAATGCCAGGAGTATGGGGAATAAACAGAAGGAGCTCACACTCTTACTTGCTAGCACCCAGTATGACCTAGTCGGCTTAATGGAAAAATGGTGGGATTCTACTCATGACTGGGTGGTAGGCATTGAGGGGTACAGGTTGTATAGGCGAGACAGAGTGGAGAAAAAAGGCGGGGATGTAGCTTTCTATGTTAGGGAGCAGTACACATCTTCCATCATCAAGGCAGGGGTAGAGGAGGGGAATACCAAGGTATTGTGGGTCAGGATACAGGGGGATCCAGGGGAAAAGGACTTGGTAGTGGGGGTCTACTACAGACCTCCTCATCAGGATGACAAGCTAGACCTGGTATTCTCCAGGCAGCTCTCAGAGGCTGTTCAGGCAACAGAGAGAGTGGTCAAGGGAGACCTAAATTACCTGGACATCTGCTGGGAGGAGCAGATGGCCAAAACAAACCGCTCACATAGGTTCTTAAACTGTGTGCAGAACCTCCACCTAACCCAGGAGGTGACTAATGCCTTTCTAGACCTGGTCTGAGCAACAGGGGATGATCTCGTGGGCAACCTGTGAGTATACAGTAACCTGGGAGATAGTGACCAGCAGGGGGGCAAATTCACAATCCAGCAAAGGGTGGGAAAAATAACCAGCAAGGCTAAAGTGTTAGACTTCAGAAGGGAAATTTTAGTAAACTTAGAAGGCTAGTTAGTGAGGTGGGTGAACTCAAGAGCATCGAGCTTATGGGGGTCCAGGAGGTTTGGAGGTTTCTCAAGTGAGTGATTCTTGGGGCACAAAAGGAGACTATTCCATTATGCAGGAAAGGGGGCAAGGGGACAAAAAAGCCCTCTTGGCTGAACAGGGAACTCCAGAAAAGACTGGGGGCAAAAAAAGAGATTTATAGGCAGTGGAAGCAGGGGGCAGCAACGAAGGAGGAATATACCTACCTGGTGCACTGTTGCAGGGAACCAGTTAGGCAGGCTAAGGCAGGACTGAAGCTTAGGCTGGCTACAACAATGAAGGACAATAAAAAGTCCTTCTACAGATACATAGCGAGCAAAAGAAAAGCACGGAGTAACATAGGGCCTCTGCAGGACAAATCAGGACAGTTGGTGGCCGACACAGGGAAAACGGTGGAGCTCTTCAATGGGTTCTTCACTTCAGTGTCCCTGAGTACTGGCCAAGACAGTTCCCCCAGTTTGAACATAGATAGATGGCCGGGAGGCTCTAGACCACCAATCATTAGTGCTGACTTACTTAAGGAGCACTTGGAGGGGCTGGACAAGTACAAGTCAGCAGGCCTGGATGACCTCCATCCACGGGTGCTGAAGGAATTAGCCAGTGTCATAGCTAAGCCACTGGCACTGCTGTTTGAGCAGTCATGGTGCTCCGGCCAGGTCCCTGAGGACTGGAAAAGGGCCAATGTGCTGCCCATTTTTAAGAAGGGGAGAAGGGATGAGCCAGGTAACTTTAGGCCAGTCAGTCTTACTTCCATCCTTGGGAAAACACTGGAAAAAATCTTTAAAGAGCACAGGGGGCAGGACCTCTGGCCACAAGATGGCGACCAGGGGTGAGGCACCTGTCAGGGGGGAGGGCTACCCATGCGGCCCTGCCTCTTGACAGGTGCCTCACCCCTGGTCGCCATCTTGTGGCCAGAAGTCTTGCCCCCTGACCTTTGCCACCAGAAGTCCCTCCCCTTGCCCCTGGAAGTACTCCTTTTAACAAGGGGTTTTGCTATCTTGGAACCAGAAAAATACCAAATTATATTCTAAAAGAAAATATCTACAACATTGTTGCAGGGCAGTAAGGTGCCGACTCCTTTAAGAGCAGAAGCTGCCTAGGGAGAGGGCCCTAAGAGCCAGCTAGAAACCCCACAGGTGCAG